ACACACACATACATATATATATATATATATATATATATATATGACGAATAATTGCATGAAAGGAGCTTCTTTTATAAATACAAATCAATGTGAGACCATCTACGTCCTTGCGTGTATCATGTGTCTGGCGAGGAATGCGAGGGTGCTTCCTCCTTCCAAGGCTCACCGCCCCTCTCTTTTTCCCCCCTTTTTTTTATCCCCCCCCCCTTCTCTTCCGCAAGGTATCCCCACCTCATTCGTTGCCGTTAAACATGAGAAGATGCCCAAAGGAGATGACACGCACGGGAAGCTCACACGCGGGTGTTTTGTCGCCGTCGGTGCGCAAGACGTAGTACAACTGCCCCTTCATCACCATCGGATTATCAGTGGGGTTTACAAAGCTCAACTCAAACCGCGGCGATGCCTCTTCGTTCTCCGCCTCATCTGGACTCTGACGGTGATCCTCCTCCTCAGCGGCAGCCGCACCGTCGCTGTTCTCCGTGTCGCCGCGGCATTCTCCACCTCCTCTAAACGGCTCCTGGGCCAGCTTCCACACGTGGGCCGCATGCACGTAGCCGACGTCCTCAAGGAGCTCAGAGGACGCGACATCAAGCCGCAGAAAATAAGAGCTTACCACCTCTATTCGGGCCGTGGGATCGTGCGGCTGCAAGCCAAACTGCAACATGAAGCAACGGGAGGCCTGGGAGAAGGGAGACCCCGTCGCCACGGGCCTCCCCTGCAGAGCTGCATCAAACGGGCGCACCGACACCGTGAGGGCGAGATCCGCGTTGCGGCACTCGACACGACGCGGAACGTGGCGCCGCACGAAATTTATCAGCTGCTCATTGCTCGCAGCCGCAGCCGCAATGGCACAAGGATCCATTTTAAAGGAACTTAAGTAGTTTTTTGCCAGGGGGAAGGGGGCGAGATGTCGCAAAACAAACATCTCCCGTCTGGGTCCGAGCTCCCCAGCTGAGGCCACACCGGTGGCCCCCACGTCGCCTTCCGCGTCACTGTGAGGCCTCGACGCATCGTCCGTGTCTCCAGCTGTGGCGGGGTCCTTCGCAGCGAAAACGGCATCGTCGAGGAAGTCATCTTCGTTGAGCTCAGATGCCACTCTTTCTGCCTCCCGCAATATTCTTTGCGTTGTCTCACTGGAAATCTTCTCCAGCCTCGTCTTGAGCCACGCCAACTCACGGAGGTGAATAAACCGCTGCGCAACGGGAGGCAAAGCGGGGGGCGTCGAGGGAGCGTCAGTGGCGCCTGTGGATGACAGCAGCGCACGACGGAGGTCCTCACAGCAGACCCGAACAACGCGCGACGGGCCCGTGTGCTGCCGCCGCCGCTGCAGGTTGCAGTCGCAGCTCCCGCGAGAGTTGGTGAGCGTGGAGGAGCTGGTGTCCACAGGTGGGTAGGAAAGGATGAAGCGGATATCCTGCAGGTGGTGCGGATGGCGTTGGGCGGCGTGAATTCGCTTCAACAGCGACCTGTACAGGGGAAGGAAGTTCATGTCTCGAGGGTAGCACGTGCCGTGTCACTTCTCTTTTTCTTTTTCGTTTGCTTGGGGGCGCCTTTGGTGCATCGCAGTTGCGCTCGCAAAGGCGAGAGCTCTGCAAAGTCGTGACGGCGACAGCGGTGCCGCACCGCGTCCTGCTCACAACGACGAAGCGACCGCCGTGTTGTGGAGGAGATGCAGGGGGCGGGGGGGCACAACCAAAGCAAAGAAGAAGAGAGAAGCGCCAGAAAGGGCTGAATGCCAAGCACAAGAGAGTAGCCACATCACCTCCGTCTCTCTCTCTCTCGAGAGAGAGAGAGGCAGAGCAAGAAGGTAGGCAGGGCGGCAGCAACGATAAAAGACACAAACCATGCATGGGACGTTCAGTTCTTTTCTTTTCTTACTTCTTGCTTTCGTCATTTTGCTAATACTGACGTTCGTTCATGCAAAAGGGTTGAATAACCCAAGACACTGTTGGCGCGCCACACACACGCACACGCACACGCACACGCACACGCACACGCACACGCACACGCACACATACACACAAAGCAACGATGAGCAACGTGCGGCTCTTTCCTTCCTGTTCCGTTCCCATCCCTTTTCCTTCTCCCCTCACACCGCTCGTAGTTCCAGCATCAAACCATCGCCTTCACGAGCAGGGCAAGCAGCAGGCCAATGATAAGAATAACTAGAAACAAGACACAAATTTTGAAACCCCCTGCTTGTTGATATTCGGCGGCTTTTTGCAGCTCCGCCCTAGCTTTTTGCACGCGCGCGTGTGTAATCGTCATATTGTAGTCTATGCGGTCAATGACGGCACCCTGTTCAATGACAAGGGTGTTCATGTCTTTAAACATGTCATGCAAGGACTTGATTGACGCATATATCCTGTCAAACTCCTTTACCCGCTCATCCACCATATGATGGTTCAGCAAAATGGTCTCCACCTGCTCTTGTGTCATGCCCTTCTGAAGATATTGATCCATCACGGCGTCCGCTTCCAGCTGCTGCTCAATGACGCGTTGATGCTCGCCGCCCGCCCACCGCTGGGCCACCGCCTGCTGCTTCTTCACATCCATCATGTACCGCCGCTGCCGCTCGCGGTAAACCTTGCTGATGTTGTTGATCTCATTCACGAGGCACATTTTTACGTTGCGAAGAATACTCAGCTCCACATCGGTGCCACTATCCGGGAGGTCGCGCATGTAGGCGGTTTCCAGCTCCTTGACGACCTTCTCACACTGTTTGAAGAGGCTATCAATGACGTTCTGGGCGCGCTCAATCCGCACCTCCTCCTCGCCCTCATCCCGGGCGGAGCTGAACTCAATCTTGAGGTGGTTGCGCCGCAGCCCCTCGAGGACCTCCATCTGGTCCTGGATCCTCTTTTCTATGGCGCGGACGTCGTCCATCTTCTCCACCCACAGCGGCGTGACGTAGACGCTGCGCAGCTGCTCCTCCTCATCCAGCAGCCGCTGCGCGTCGGGGTGCCGTGGCCGAACGCTACGATACTGCAGAAACTCGTTGGTGCGGTCACGTGACGCCATCGCGGCCACACGGGTGCCGAAACTCAAGCGGGGCTGCTCCCTAAGCGGGTGAGAAACGGAGGAGAGGAGAGGGGGGGGGGGGGGGATAAAGAAGCAAAGCCAGAGCGGAAGAGAAAACAAGCGCAAATAACGACGAGGTGAGAGCTGCGACAAAACGTAGCAGGAACGTGGGTGAGTTCCGTGAAACAAGTGGCAGTCACAGATGCACCCACGGCGAAGCTGCTGGCATCTGAAAATACACCACACAGAAACGCACACATCAAAGTGGAATGCATGGACGGAGGCAACTACGGTTGGACTGTCGTGTTGTTAACGGGACCTCATCGAGCGCCTCCACACGCCTTGGCGCAACGCACACAACAGCTTGACGCCAGGGCTGCTGAGGGGGGCCCTCGGAGCGCACACCGAACGAGGGAGAGCGGGGAACGGCTTCAGTGCGACTCCCCACCAACACCAAACCGGCCCCATGAGGCTGAACAAATGCATAACGGGGGCCAACGCAGTCACGCGTCCTTCCCCAAATATATAGACAGAGAGTGAGTGAGTGAGTGAGAGCGCGTGCGAACGACTCAGCCGCGAAGGAACAGAGATCAAGGTGAAGAGAGTACATCTGGAGGTCCATAGAGAAGAGAACCCCCCTTCCCCATCCTCAACAAAAAAAAAAAGGACTGCATTGATGGTGGAAGTGAGGCCCAAATTTCCCAGACTTTTTGGCTGCAGGCCTCTGTTTTCAGGGAAATTTGCCCGGACTCCACTTGCCCATCGCTTTCAGCTCCGATTGCAAGAAGAGAAGAAAAAATATACACATGTGCATTCAAGGAAGCGACAATATACGAAAAAAAAATATTCACGAAACGAGGTTCGCTTGCTCAAAAGGGATATATACACATATATGTATATATACGAGGTAACGAACGACAAGGAAGAGAAATTCCCTATTTAATTACTCATATTCCTTTTTGATCGCCTTGGCGATGGTCTGCAGCTGAATGATGGAGGTTCCCTCGTAGATGGCGCCAACCTTGGCGTCACGGTAGAAGCGCTCAACGCCAAAGTCCCGCGTAAAGCCAATGCCACCAGCCCACTCAACCGCCTTGCTGGCCGTTTCTTCAGCCACTTGGGAGGCGAAGAGCTTTGCCATGGCGGCATCCTTCACAAAGTCCTCACCTCTCAACTTTTTTCGTGCCGCGTTGTACACCATAAGACGCGCCGCCCAGGTGTTGGTGGCACACTGCGCGTACTGCATCTGCAGCGCCTGAAAATCGCCGAGGTGCGTGTTAAACTGCTTTCGCTGGAACAAGTATGGCATGACAAGATCCATCGCACCCTGCGCGATGCCGACCATTTGTGCGCCTATTCCTATACGACCTTCGTTTAGGGTTCCAATGGCAATCTTGTAGCCCTTGCCAACCTCCCCAATAACGTTCTCCTCCGGCACTTCACAATTCTCGAAGTTAATCTCAACCGTAGAGCTGGCGCGAATGCCCAGCTTGTTCAAGGGAGGGCCAACGTGTACCCCTGGCGACTTTCTCTTGTCCACCACAAAACAGGTGATCCCCTTGTACCCCTTGGAAGGATCCACGTTGGCCATGACAAGGAAAATATCCGCATGGCCACCATTTGTAATGTACATCTTTGTCCCATTGATCACCCAGCGGTCCCCTTTCTTTACTGCACGGGCCTTGAGAGCAAAAGCGTCACTGCCACTCTCCGCCTCGGTGAGGCAAAAGCACCCCATACATGAGGATGCCAGATCTGGCAGAAACCGCGCCTGTTGCTCGCGACTCGCAAACCGAAAAAAAACATTATTCACAAGCGTGTTGTGCACATCCACGCATACTGACACCGACGGGTCCACGCGTGCAATTTCTTCGATGGCCAAAATGCTCGAAAAAAACGACATATCCCCGCCCCCGTGCTCCGCAGGAGTCTCGATGCCCATGAGCCCCGCCCCAAAGAGCTCCTTGATGAACGCCTTGTCCATTACACCTGTCTCGTCCATCGTGCGGGCGCGTGGCTTTATGACGCGCCCCGCGAACTGACGCACGGTCTCCACGAGCATCTGCTCGCCTTCCGAGAGAAGCGTCACGGGGGTTGGGGTTGGCACCGCCGTGCAGCGTGCCACAGCGCAGCACCTGAGCGCCAAAGCAGAGGTGCAACGGAGCATGTTCAGCAGGAAGAAAGCAAACAAACAACAAAAAAGGAAGAATGAAACCGCGCGCGTATGTTTCTCCCTCTTTCGATGAATATATGAGAGTATGCTTCTTGCCCTGCCCTACGAAAGTGAAGGAAAACCAAGAAAAAGCAACGATAATACCAACAATAGCACAAATAAAGAGGCTGAGGTGCTGCTACGTTTTCCCCTCCAAACGCGGGATCATCATTGCCGTCGTCAACATGTTCTCGTCGTGGCCGAGAAGTTCGGAGCAGATGGGGCTCGGTGCAGTTAGAGTTGTACCCGCACAGGCGCAGAACAAGGCACGATGGAAATACAAGAAAAAAAAAAAAGACACGATTCGCAAAATTGGAGGGAGGAATTCGTTCGTGTCTCTAGCAAAGAAAGAGGGAGAGAAAGGGGGTGGCTGAGCGCCAACGCAAATGCAAGGCATAAAACACTGAAAGCAAAACAAAATGCGCCCAGATACATTCACGGATACAACAGTCTACATCCACAACGGCAAAGGAAGTAATCTGCCCGGGGTCTAATTCCAAGATACAGCACCCCCGCTTGCATTGAAGCATACGCAGCGACACACTACGCGACAAGAAAAAAACAACAACAACAAATTAACTTCATTATGCATATATATATATATATATACACACACACATACGCGCATACATTTTTATTTATTTATATACCCTTCCTATTCTACTGCAAATCACGCCGGCAAAGAGGCAAATTTGTAACACCGCCACCGTATTGTGAGCATACATTGCGAGATACTCATCCCACATGTACACCCTCCACCCAAGATGTCCTCCCGCGGCCGTAGCGCTTGTGGGAGTAGAGGACAATCACCACGACGAGGGTTAAGGAGGCCCCGTTAATAATAAAAGGAAGGCCGCTCAGTATGTGCGTGCGCGGCTGAGTCTTAAAGGACCACGAGAGAAGTCGTCCCAAAGAGAGCGCCACAAAAATTTCTAATATATTCTGCAGGGTTCCCACACATCCCAGCGCCAAACCAGCCACACCATTATCCGAGGCAATTGCCGTGATCTTCGCGTTAAAGATGGTGGAGGCGATCGTTGTCAATGAGCCCAAAATAGACACAATGTACATCTGAGGACCTGTCATCGCCATGGCGTAGCCCGCCGTCACCAGCGGAAGCATCGCCAATACAATAAAGAGCACCGGCAGAACAATATCGCTAGAAATCACAAACCTGACACCAGCGAGTTGACACAGCACGGCGACCATGGCGGAGACACCAACCATTAGACTCATCTCCGGCAATTTCCAGCCGAGGCGGAAGTCCACAAAGAGTACGAGCATCATGTGGGTGGTCACGTTACCAACCCGCAGAAAGGCAAGAGCACAGATAAGATTCCGCAACAGCGCATCCCTATAAATGGTAGACAGACTGCTGGCTAAACCACCAGACGAGGAAAACAAAGTGTTTGACTCCGCTTTGGCCTCCACGGTGGGAGAAGCAAATTTCGACCGACCCGGAAGCTTTACCGCCAAGGTGAGCAGCATGGCAATGCCTGCCAGACACGCCCCAAAAACCAAAGCGGCAACACGGGAATAATACCAACTAATCATCCCACACATAATGGAGGAGGTGATCATCGAAGTACCAAACGTCGCTCCAAGATACCCAAACGATTCCAGCAACGCGTTTCCTTTCAGATAGTCAGAGAAAAAGGCTTGCAATATGGTCGAAGGGATCGAAATCGCGGCAACTCGGGCTACCCACAGCATGTAAATTGAGCCAGTGATATCGCTGAAGACAACAAGGATTGTCGTGAGGAAAAAGAAAGCCATCCACGGGGTCAGAAATTCAAGACGGCCTACACGATCCGAGTAGTGGCCGGCGAGGCCGCAAAAAATCATTCCACTCACTGCCGTCGTGGCTGTAAAGACTCCCTGCCAGGTCGGCGCCACATCCTTTCCCACTATATCCTTCAGAACGAGGGGTGTGGCAACCTGCAACACGGCCCAAGAACCGATGACAAACCCCCAAATAACGCACAGCCTGAACACAAGGAGGCGGCTCTCCCGAGGCGAACTATCCATCACCGCGTACTGGCTAATGACTCCGAGAAAAAGAGAGACAGTAAAGAAGGCAATAGTTCTGCCGCGTGGAAGCACAGACGCATCACGAAACTGTGATCAACAGGGGTACGCTTGCAACCCCGCAACTTCCGTAGTCGCTCACAAATAACAATAATGCTAATAATACGCGGCTGCAGCAAACAAATACCAGAAAAAAAATCAGGAAACAAAAAGCCTTTTACAGAAAGCAGGGGGGGGGCATAAACAATCAAACCAAAACAATTCTGCTTGATGCCCTGAGCGGCGCAATATCCAAAGTACCAGTTTCGAAGCAGCAAAAACGTCTTTCCCGAAAGACAAGTCTATCAACGTGACGAACGAAAAAAAAAACACAAACAAAAAATCAATAAAACTACAATTACACCTTTTGCGGATGAAATCCTTCTTCAGGAACGGTTTACTAAAAAACACAAACACCTAGAAACTTTTGCTTCATAAATTCCTCAACAAAAGCCATACATACTTTGAGCTTGCAAAGTCACACACTTTGGGGTCCGGAACCGCAACGACACCATCCGTGGAAAGTATCGGCAAACCAGTATGGCTAGAGGACAAACAAACAAAACCACAAAATACACGCAAAAAAAAAAAACTGCGCGCGCGCTGACCACCAATGTTGTGGCCTTTTACAAGTCATAATCAATAAAAAAAACCAAGAATCAAATAAACATGAGAGTTCATCAGGAAAACAACCCATTTATTTGACCCATCCGTCTTGAAGCTAAAGCACCAAGCTTTGGTGCTTTTGTCGCTTTTGAAAAAAGAGGAAATAAAAAAAATTGCTTACAGGCTGCTACCGCGCTTGTTATCGGCAGCCAACGACACCACAAAGGCGCCGTCGCCCATCACCACGGGGTAGACCTTGTTCACCACGCCAAAGCGCGCCTTGAACTTTTCACGAACTTCGCGCACCACCTCGTCCACGGCACGCTTCTTGAGCAGCAGGATGATGCAGCCGCCAAAGCCGCCGCCCATCATGCGTCCGCCCGCGACGTCGCTGTTTTTGTTGATAATCTCATGAATGAAGTCCAGCTCCTCCGTCGAGACCTTCAGAAGCGTCTTCAAGCCTTCATGCGTCTCGTTGAGGATGCGGCCCGCCTCCCTGAACCGCTCCTCGTGCGACAGGCCGGTGCTCGTATCCGTGAGGGCGATGAACTCACGCGTGCGGATCTGCTCGGTGACGTTGTAGTAAGCGCGGTCGAATTCTCTGCGGGAAAGGTGCTTCTGGCACGACTTCATGAAGCGGACAGCGTTACCGTCAGAGGCGTACTTGGTTGGGTCACGCACAAGCTCGGTGAATGTGAAGGAACCTCCGCCCAAGGCGTGCTTTGAGATCTTCTCCTGTGCATGTTCCTGGTCACTGCGCACGGTGTTGTACGTCCCCGCCGTTTTCCCCATCAGGTCGTGCTTCAGCATCGAATCGATGAGGAGGAAGCAGGCGTCGTCGCCTGTCACTGGTGTGATGTCGCAGAGCTTGTACGTCAGCGCGGTGCAGTCAAGCACCAAGAACTTGTTCGCAACGGCGAAGGCGGAGACGAACTGGTCCATGATGCCAACCTGCGCACCGCAGAAGTCGGTCTCGATGCGGCGGCCCTGCTTCACAAGCTCGATCATATCGTGGGGCGACTCGCGGGGGAGGACGGAGTAGCGCCGCCCAGGCGGCAGGCGGGGGTGCTTGTAGCGGCCGGTGATCGTCGTGCTCAGCGCGTTGAGCAGCGCGATACCGAACGAGGCGGAGGCGCTCATGCCAGCCCCCATCTCGAGCGTTCCGAGGATCATCATGCAGAGCCCCTTCAGAGGCGCGGCGCCAAGCTTTACGCCGTGGTGGGCGAGGCGAATCGAGACCGCACCGCGGATAAAGGTCGTCCACGCCTTGTCGTGCTGCGACGCGCCGAGGCTGTCAAGCTCGAAGAACTCACCGAGGGTGGTGGCAAAGCGCAGCTTGTCGTCGGTGAAGTGCTTCACGCGGCCCACCAGAATGTGGCAGCCGTCCCCCACCGCGGCGGGGCAGACGTACCCGCCCATGTAGTCGACGTGCTCGCCAATGAAGTTGACCCGTCCGGGGGCAAAGGTGAAGAGAATCCACTCCACGTCGCACTCACCCTGCACGCCAAAGGCCTTCTTGAAGAGCGGCCGCAGCTGCCCGAGGGTGCTGTCAAGGCGCCCGTCCGTATAGCTCGTTGGGTACATCTTCGAGTCGTAGGCAATAGAAATAGATATGATGGCTTTCTGGGAACGGCAAGAGGAGCAAAGCGAGGAGGTGAAGCAGCGCGCAAGGGGGAGGCGAGGCGTCAGGCGCCCAATTGAGTGGGAGCGTCAAAAAGGCCACATCCCACACATGTCTCGTCGTAACATTACAAATGGCATGCGCGCATGTGGGTTTGTGCCGCGTGCACAGTGCACAGCAGGAGGGGGGAAAAAGAGCGTCTCAGAAAGTCATTTACACACTTCCACCGTCGAGGCAGTGCGGGTCTGTCGGTGGTGGTGGGGCAAACTTTTCTATTGTCGTAACGATACACGCAAGTTGCTTGTTCCAAACGCTTTGCTTCTCTGCACGCTTTTCCATCGCCGCGTGAGCCACCCCCTTGTGCATCCAGTCAGCACAGATTGAGGTCCACACGTACGAGAGCGAACAGAGACCAGAAATAACATTTAGGTACGCCGTGAGCACAAATAAC